TAAAGGCGCTAAACCGCTAATATTTGGGACCTAGAAATTGACACAAGCGAGTCGCAACGCATATAATAATGTAATATGAATGTATATAAACTGATTTACATTCAGTCGTTTATGTTTTTACTTTAATTTCTAATCAGTTATGTTCGGCGAAATACGTCAGGAGTCTCAATCTAATGGCAATCTCTAGCATCTGGTTATTCAAGTCTACACCGTAGGTATTTATTGCGCATGCTCTCCAGATAAGAATATGGGACACCGTTTGACATGACTGATAGATATGTCTAGCCTCGTTCTTCGAGTTCCTTGTTACAAATGGCACTGGAACGCAGTATGGTACACGATTCGTGTACCGCAATGGTAAAATGTTTATTTTGTCTTAAATATTGGATATCAGAAGCCCATCTTTTCCCGTTAAGAACACAACAACAATGTTGATTTAAATTGACAAATAATTCGTGTTTTCAATGTCGAAGGTTTTGGATGATATTGAGTTAGAGACTTAGCTACTTTAATATAACCTTAGTTCTTTATAAATTAATGATTAACAGAAGTGCTGGCTTTTAACTGCTCTAATTTGCCGTTCCATAAAAAATGGTGCAGTGGATGCAAACGACCTTTCTACTAATAATGAAATACATTTGGGAGATACAAACTGGTGTATTTGGATACTTACAATGTTATATGAGACCGGGCCATGGAGCGATGATGATCATGTTGTATGGAATCTGGATTGGGCTGGTATAATAGACTTACTGGCCCGGGTGTGCTGGGTGTGGGCCTGAATTCGGAATCCTGCAATGGTGATTCCGAATTTTATCCGAAAATTTCATCGGATTCACCCGACACTGTCGCCAGAAACGTCTGCCGATGGTTCGTAACTCCCAAAAAATATTCAATTTTAAGGCCTTGGCAAAATTTGATGATAGCTGGTCTTGACGATACAATGATAATACGTTAATTAATAATAATGACGATATGATAATTTCACAGGTTGATGGTTGTAAATTACTTTCAGGTCGGGGTTTTGGCCTAAATTAATCGATTTATGAGATATATTATTTGACAGAGATTATAATCAGATATGCCACCAAATCGCATATTTGGGGTTCATTTTTCAAAATTTTCATGGGGGAGAGCCCCCAGAACCCCCATCCGGGCTCCGCGGTCAGTAAAATGGGCCGCTCCGACACGGGAGCCCGGGCCGGTCCCCGGCCCCAATCCGCCCCTGGACAGAGCATTCACGTAGGCTTCGATAATTATAGTAAATGGACGGCGGCTAACGACAAATACAAGCCGGAATGGAGTCTTACTCAATCAAGTCACGTGACAAACAAGGATGATTCAAGTAAGTTCGTGTGGCATGATATACATTTCTTGCGATTTAAATGTTTTGAAAGGGATTTGAAGCAAACTTTTGATAAATATATTAGTTTGAATATGTTTTAGTCCAAATATATCATCCCACAGCAAATGTATCGATCAATTCGGAATAGCAGCTCCATATTTTGATTTGAAAATTCGAGACAGGATAATTGGGCTATGTGTTTTCAATTTTGTCGACGGACACCTTGGGAAACATGCAACTCCCCTTTTAATTTAGCTACAATTTATATAGGAATTTCTTCTCTTCCCGTCATACTGCCAAGTGGCACTTTTACTTCCTGATTATTACCACATCAAACAAAGAACGATCGGTGCCAGCAGACAAATGCAAAAACTCCATAAAAAAGCGGTCGTTATTCATAAACGAGGTATAAAAGACGACAAAAATGCGTTATCTTGTCATTATGAAATGTAATCCATCTGAGTTAGAAATAGTTTTATCATCACAATATAGCCTTTAACAAATAAATACAACACTATTACTAATAAACATCTAACAGACTTTACACCTTATAATCATAAACTATGCATATTTCAAAGAAAAGGTTTCATTGTAGGTATTTTGGTAGCCATAGAGTTGTTCTCACAGAACTGTATCCATAATAAAAACAAAAAAGTTTACGCTAGCTCAACCCAGTGTTTATCCGAACCCAGCAATTAATTTGTAATATTAATAATTTTGAATTTAGATGGAAACGTATTACAAAAATAGGTTAAAGTATTAGTCCAGTTCAATTATATATTGAAATCTTGATACTGGCAAATAATATTATGATGCATTAATATTTATGCAGAAATGTGTATCGAAATGGTCCAATATACAAAGAAGGGTTTTGACAAGATCAAACCATGTATGGACTTTATAGAGTTAATTATTAACCATCATCACCAACGTGGTTTAATAATTACTAGAAGCAACCATTTAACTCAGATACATGATTCCATTTCTCACACTTTGCTTACAAGAATGTAAAGTTGGTGACCTTATGAAAGAAATTGTAGTAATAGTCTATGACCATGTGTTATATAATAATAGTTACAGTAGCATTCTGATTACGTTGACTCACATTAACTCAATAACTTTCCCGGCTTATGAGTAGGACAGATAAGCTGAATTATATGTATCAGTGGCTCAACATGCATTATTTATGTATCAGTGGGTATCAATCAGTTCCACGGCCAGTATAAGTCATTTACCCGGTATGCACCATTTATAGCGCAGTGTATCAATGTGTATCTATAAATTTCAATATATAAAACATATGTGTCAGTAACTCACTACGCATCATTTAAAGCTCGGTGTATCAGTGTGTATCAATAAGATTCAATAGATAAAATATGTGTGTCAATAACTCACTATCCATCATTTATAGCGCAGTGATCAGTAAGATTCAGTGGACAAAATATATGTGTCAATAACTCACGATGCCGCATTTAAATCTCAATGTATTAGTGTGTATTAAGATTCATTAGATCAAATATATGTGTCAATAACTCCTTATGTATTATTTATAAAGTTCAATGTATCCGTGTGCATCAATAAGATTCATTAGACAAAATATATGCACAAGTGACTCACTATTTATCATTTAAAGCTCAATGTAGCAGTATGTAATGAGATACTTAGACAAAAATTTGTTTGTCAACAACTCACTATGTATCATTTAAAGGGCATTGTATCAGTCTATATCTATAACATTCGATAGACAAAATATATGTGTCAATAACTTAATATGCATCTTTTAATGCACAGTGCATTAATGTGTATCAGTAAGATCCAATAGACAAATAAATATGTCAATAAACCGTTGTGCACCAATATGACCACAAGTTATATTTTGTGTAATGGTATCAAAATTAGCCAATATATTATTTTATTAAATTTTTGTATCGAACATGGCGGTCAGAAGTGCACGTATCCTAACATAATATTGTCATAAATCACGATTTTATGGGAGAGAAAAATTTCCATTCACAGTTTCATTGAAACGTTCCTAATATAACGATTACCAGCTTCCCAGTAGTAAATCTTTGAACAATAAGCGAAAGAGTGTTTGTAACAAATTTTCTTCAAGTACTTCTAGTCCATAGAGTACACACGGGTTAACAGATACAGACCTTCTATAGGCACACCCCTAAATCATGACAAATTAAAATAAATTGTTCATAGTAATGTAAAACAAATTGTTCTTAATAATTTAAAACAGTCTCAATTTCTTTTCTAATGGTTGTAATTGCATGGTATATTATTGCTTGCTTGGAATTTTGATATGTGAAGGCCTCCCCAAAGAAATTCGGTTGTTGTTGGAAATTGTGCATGTTGGTATTAGTAGTATAAAATTCGTAACTAAATAGATTCAAGAAAAACAAGGGGTTTTCTATGGACAGAAATGAAATGAAATGTGATTTAAAGTCTAATTTTTCTACACCATAATGGAGACGGGCATGAGCCATGCAGTGTGATATGAGGGAAATCTTACATATTCTCATTTCGATTTCCACCTGTAAGGGGATCTTTTACCGTGGATTTTCATACCACAACCAACACCACTGACAAGAGTAAACCAGACTCAAGGAACTTTCTTTCCAGAACATCTTATATCACATCTCATTTCGTTTGGAAGTTCACGCTGTCCAGATAACTTTTGTATATAATTAACATACAGACAGTGAATATACACATCACCAAATGTTAATTTATGTAAATTTAATAAATGTTTTTCTCTCACTCTTTTACTTTCACAACCAAAGAAAGAAATGCATTATAACATCCCAATTCCACATAAATATTTGAAGGTGGATTAAGGCTTTGCCAGGCCCTGGGCAATCAGTACGTGAGATTTCTCAATACAATAGGATAAACTATCTCCCCCATACCTTACGATGAGAGAGAGAGAGAGACTAACGTCATCCTCTAGAACACTTGGTAACACTTCTAAAATCTAAATTCATCAACCCAAATACCTCATTTGACTTGAGCATTTAAATTTGGAATTTAAAATTAAGTTGCACATGAAAGGTACATAATGTGCCGGTTTCTTAGGAATGAAATGAAATGGGGTTTAACTTCTTACAGCTTCGACAGGTCTAATGAAGAACATAACGAAATATCTTCAAGTTGTTTTCCTACTTTCTGAAATCAAAGTCTTTCTTCATGGCGATATCGATCAGTTAATCACATCATACTAACTATAGGATGTTTTTTTTTTATTATCCCAGATAAAATCTACCATTATGGTTTAATTACGTTCAATTATTAAATACGTGGTCGGTATTTACAGGTGAATGTATTTAATTATAAGTTATTTTGATATTTAAAAGAAGAATATTTAGTTTTTCAGATACTATCAATAAGTGTGCCTGACACCACACGTTTCAGTTAAATGGGCTGTTTGGGGACTTACCTATAAGTCATTTTATATGAATGATTTTAAAGAAACTGATTTAATGTGTATTTACACAATAAATCTCAATAAATACAACTGATTTGATTGACAAGATTTTGAAAATATGAAGAAAGGAAGAAATTTAATGAAATTCTTGAAAAGAGAACGATTCTTAATGAAAATAAGTTTAAGAATTATTAAAAACATTAATTTTCAAGTTTTAGTACTTACTTCTTTTTGGTCTAGTAATATCCGAATCAGTACTACTCCATACGTCCCCAACACAATAAAATATGATGAAAAAAGTCACAAGCGACCCCGAAAACATAGTACATGTCTTGTGTATTTTTCTCTATCCCCCGGAGCAAGGTGCCCGCCCCCACCACTCACTAATCCCCCATCTCTGAAAATAAACACAGGATCACTACACACTGTAATCACTTATAAACAAAGAATTAGGCACATCCGAACTGAAATCACCCATCGTAAATCCAAGGATATGTGGGATGGCCTCTAATCCATGAGAAACACGGTAGCTAGCTAATCCTTTTGTGTGCGCTAAGACGGCTTCGTTTCAAGTGTAGAAGTGTATAGTATACAGACTTGTTTGCTGTTTGTTATAAACAGATAGAGAGGAAGAAAGGGACACGAGATGTATATTATAATGTCTATATAGTGTATATACATGCGTTTTTCTACTACCTACGTTTTCTTACTATAACATCTCGTGACAGCTCCATGGAAAGACGCCACTCTTTATCGCTAAAAACTTAATTACCGCGCAATGTTTTTTCCCTTTCCTAAACCCCTTTGGCTGTTTCTCCGAGATAACATTTTTTTTCTTTATTGCTTAATCCCCTACCGAACATCGCCAATAAAAAAAATAGTTCAAATCTTTGGTGATGTGTAAAATTCATTAGATGAAATCCTCAGCATATTTCAGTCAAACTAACGTCGAATTAAAGCGATATGGTTACTACGGTTTCCTAAGAATGATATTTATTATACTATTTACGTTCTTTGTCGGGTGCTAAAATTCGCAATTTCTTTTCGTTTAAAATCACTCGCACGATTTTGAGAAAGTAAAAGTATTATGGTTGTTTATGACGAAATGCTACTTAATATAATCGGTTTTTGTTTTTAACTTCGGATTAAGGTCTCCTAGTCTGTAGGTATGTAGTTACTTCTAAGAGAGATGTATGACTTTAAGCTTAAATTTTTAATCAATTTAAATGGTAAAGGATGGGCGTTAATATCAATGTTTTATAGCAAGATGAGGGCGTTTGTAATGATAGGGAAATAAAATATTTGATCCTTCAACTAAACTCAAAGTAATTATGTATTAAACTTAACGCGTTTTAACATTAACATGCTTTTTATAAGAATTATAATCTATGACTTTTCCATGGTGTTTGTTATTACTGACATCTGTAGAGATTATCAAACATGGAGAATTCGCTTCAAGTATATTGTGAACAATTTACTGAGAGGGGAATGGTGTATGGGTAGAAAGACATGGTTTTTAAGGTCCACTCGGCATACAATATGCCATTTCGAAACTAACATTCGCACAATTTTATTTCAATAATTCGCGTGTGGGTAGAGATCTTAAGCAGTTGGGAGAAACGATCCTATGCCTTGTCACGTACAAGGTTGGGATCGAAACCACGCCACTTTACTCAATGGCAGACTTTATGATCTAAAGCGCAGGCGTTAGAACACTCGCCACCACCACCACCACTACCCTCTTTAATATGTTAACTGGGTTATGATAATATTGTACTGATTAAACTCAAGTTCGATATTTTAAAAAATGTTAAAATCTAAATCTTTCTCGAAAGTTGTACAAAATTTCTTTGATGTCCGTACCTACATCGTAGTTCATACATATATATGTAATATTTATTTGTACCATATTATAACGAACCACCATTAAACCTTCTAATAAAATATCTAGTTGACATTAAATCATTGAAAATAAATTGGCGTTACTGTGGACTTCATCTTTTAACCCTTGAGGGCCACAAAAAGGGTTTGTGTTTACCGGTTTGGGAGTTTGTCTTGGCACCGGTGTCGCTACACTGGCCTCGCTCGGTACACCGTTTGGCTCGGTATCTTAATTATTATTTTTTTTAGTTACAAAGAAAGGGAGAGAGAGAGGGAGATGGGGTTTACCGTCCACTCGACACAAACTAGGTCATTTCGGGACTAACATATTGTTTAATTTCATTTCAATAATTCGCTTGCGCGTAGGGGTCTTTAACAAAGAAAGGGACCTGAACCTTTAAGCCTATATCATATACAATACAGCGCTCCGTATACGAGTAAAACGAAAGGGATCTAAACCTATAAAGGCCTACATCAGTAGTCCCAACAGTAATGAATAAACGGGAAAACGACATGAACAACCGGCAAGTATAACACTAAATCAAGTTTTATTCCATTGGGTTGAAAGAATACACAATGAACAAATTGAGCAACATGATAGATGAATTCTCGATTGTGATAAAAGCCGATACGATATCATCTCGGTGGAAGCGGACGTTGAATAAAGCTATTTCACACACACACTGGTCTCTTGCTCAAGGAACGGAGCCAAACCGGTTACGCGTCAAACCGCGATATCATGGTTCAGATACCGACCCGAGAAGACCATTGGAATTTTTCGATACGTGTAACGTTTCTAGATTTTCAACATTTCTCGATGAATCGTATTTGTTTTAATTTTCAGAAATTACTCTGATTTCACTATGTTTTATTTTTTGTTAACTATATATTTTATGTGATAAGTTACTTGAAATGAAATAAAATGAAATGAAATGGGTTTTAATGTCCCACTGTCCTGTTCCGACTGGGATAATAAAGACGGGATTAGTTATTTGAAAGCGCCATTTTGTAAAAAACAAAAACAAAAAAACAAAGATAAATAAATAAATAAAAAAAATTAGCACTGAAACTAAAGAATTAGATCTTCAATATGATGTTAAATTTAAAATAAATTCGAGTAATGGGTGTTGGGCAGGCAACGGTTATGTGCATGTACGTGTATAGTCCTTTGGATGGCACGAAAAAATACCCACTGTGACTGGATTTAAAGATCTATAGACAGTGTTATTCATATGTGCCCTTGGCGCATAATTTCCCTCTCCTGCCATATGAGAACTCCTATACCATGTTATTGTCAAAATAACCGAATAAAGCTTTGGCGGTGTTTTATCAAATATGACCCCTGTCAGTTTAGAGCCGGGGTTTCTTTTCACTTCAGCGGATAGCCCACGTTCTTTAAACCAAGCTCTAAAACTACAATATATACATTATTAATTCAATCACTTTTATTTACACACCAATAACTTTGAATGAAAATACCAACGAAAAAATAGTTATGCAAAATAGCACTTGATAAATGTCTTAAAGGGTAAAGTTATTCGAACTTTCTGACTCAAATCATTTTGACAACAGAATGACAGTACAATAAAAGCTTTTAAAAGTGAATTTAAACGGCTAAAATCTAGACAGCTTACAATAGAAAAATAAAATATGCAAAATTTATCAAACTTGTGGGATTCATAATAACCACCAAACACACACCCCACCCCCACCCTCACTCAAAGGAATTGCATATTATTAAATGATATACATGCGCCTTTCTTTAACATCAATTTATGAGAATCGGTAACAAATTTTGTGTCAGATATTAGTATAGAAAATTATAAATTATCTTTATTAGACAGAAAGATATTCTTGGGATGTTCAAAATATAAGAAAGTGCAATATCTTGTTATCATGGAATCTGTATTTCTACCTCTTTGATGTAATATAGATTTAACCAGTTTGTGCAGGGCATTCGAACAACATGGTAAAAGTTAAACAGACATTATGTAAGAGCTAAATCTGCCTACTGCAGGTCTTTCTGTTGGCCTTAAATGCTACATAAATGATTAATTAGACATTTATTAACATGACCAGGCCCTAATCAACTCTCGATACCATCGGATGGTCCCGATTTTAAGTAAATTGGAACGGTTTGCCATTTAATGATTTAATTTAAAATTGGAGAAGCAATATTATGATTCGAATAGTACGGTGGTTACCATCAACGAACACATCTTGTCAAAATTATATGGAATACAAGTTACTTAAAGAGTTTATTACAGCGACGTTTCGACGAGAATTCTCCCGTCTTTATCAAGCAAAGAATGACCATCATAGTGCAATGAGGATATATATACAAAATATATGGTATATATGATGGTCATTCTTTGCTTGATAAAGACGGGAGAATTCTCGTCGAAACGTCGCTGTAAAAAAATCTTTAAGTAACTTGTATTCCATATAATTGTGTCATGTGTTATTCTCATCCAGTTACTAAATGCCACTAAAACAATTTACATCTTGTCAAAACTACAACCATTGATAAATTCGCTCAAAATAAAGTAATTTGAATGAAATTTTCAATATATTCATTTTGCATTATCTATTTTTGAAAAATTATAGTAAGAACGGCCACCTCTTTATCTAAATCTTACACATTACCAACGCGTTTCAGAATAACCAGTGTTTATGAAGTTTTAAAAAAATATTTTTTGACAATCAATTTTTGAAGTGTATATAAATCTTCAAAATATAACTTTGGACTACTGTGGGCTAAATGTTCTCTCCTGGATTAAGGGTTATGACATATAACTGCCTATTCAGGACCACATCTACAAACATCTATTGTACTATTTTGACACTAAATATGGGTAAAGACTCTCAATAAACTCACAAGACATCTGTCAAATTCTGAAGCCTCGAGATGAAAACAAACAAATCAAATATCATATATGTGTCATATTCTTATATTACCTAATGTGACACCCGATTCAATCCAGTACGTACTATTATAACTAGGGAAAGAGAAATAGAGCCATTCTTAGCACCCACTTGTTAAACATATACCTGTATACAAATATCGTCTACTATCTCTTCATTGTTAATTATATATCACTACCTATGTTCTACTTATATTAAAGAAATAATACTAGCATCTCAATATTTTAAAAAATACATAAACCATGTCAATATAATATTGGAGAATCTGTTATAAATAATAATTGGTAAACGAAACAATATTTGTTATCTTTCGTAAAAGAAATATATTTTGTTATTAACAATATTTGTTATCATTCGTTGTAAAAAAATAATTTTTATATCGACAATGTACGGATTTTGCATGACCCCTATACGCTTCCGTACAGTATTGTTATACTGTGTTTAATAAGAGGAAGAACGCATATTCATTTATGGGTGGGTATAAACAATGATAGATAATGAATTTATTATTTTAGATAAAAAAAAAAAAAAAAAAATAAAACGAAAATAATTATATGCAGCGCCTATATAGACCGTGTACCTTTTTTCTATGTTTCTTCTTCTTCTTTTCTTCTTCTTCTTCTTCTTCTTCTTCTATTAGTGGTTAACGTCCACTTCCACGTAGTGATATCACAGATAAGTCGTCTTATTTTATTATGCTTAGTGCACGCGCAGGGGTCTTTCCCGTGGGAGCAAACCGGAGTACCTGGAGTAAACAAGCGCCCCTATCTCCCAAGTCACATACGAAACCACGACCGCAATCCAGAGATGATCGCCACACTTTAGACCACTAGGCCATACCAGTATTTTTAAAATTTGTTATGCATCTCTTACCCCAAAATTTGGAAGCCTAATTAATCAAAAATTAATCAGGCCTTTTTTATAAATAGAACTACATTGCTGTTAATCAAAACACCTTTTAAATAGAAGTAGACAGTGGTATTTTTTTTAATAACAGAAAATAGTACATGTGTCCCTTTAACCAACATGTTGTATTGCCATTTCTCACTTTACTGGACTATTATTAACACCTTATAATATTAGATGTTTGTATATTATACCTACAGGTGTGTACAGAGTTTTAATTTCATAAACTACAATAAATTATGGTATTTGGCTAGACTGGTGTCAAATACGTCTTTAAGAATGTTATTTAACTGCTATCATTACATTAC